GGGGTCTCGAACTAATTTTTTGTGAGGTGAAAAATATTTTTGACATACCGACGAACACTGCCATTGTTGAAGATAACTAATTTCACTTTTTGTTTTCAGCATAATGATCAGTAATAACAGATACAATGGAATCCTGATAGTCAACTTGCTTAAAGTCAACTCTTGCTTACAGTCAACACCTCACAGAGGTCCCGTTTTTTACCTGCTTTGTTTAAGTAATTTTAAGTAGATCTAGTTGTGTTTCTGATACAGTCAACCGCTTGAGTGTTAAGCTTGCGTAAAGTCAACAATTTGGGGCTAAATCCCAAGATGAATTCATTTAAGAAGAGATATTTCGCCTGAGCTAGTGGTGTACACACCTCCAATTACTTTGTTCTTTCATTATCTATCTCTTGTTTTGGTGACAACTTCAAAATTATACTCCCTGAAATTGAGATTCATCATCATCAATGCCTTTCACCCCTGGCAGGGTATAGGCCACATACAAGCTCCTTCCATTTATCTCAATCCTGGGCCATCCTTCCTAGCTCGTTCCAAGTGAGCTTCATCTCTCTCATGTCCCTTTCCACACACCTCCTCCATGTCTCTCGTGGCCTACCCCTGCCTCGTGCTCCCTGTGGGTTCCATTGCAATGACTGTCTTGTGATGTTTCCGCTGGGTTTTCTGAAGGTGTGTCCCATCCAACGCCACTTTCTTAGTCCTATTTCTACTTCTATAATCCTTTTGTCCTGTCCTTTCCCATAGCTCTTCATTTCTTATTCTATCCTGCCACTTAATTCTTAGGATACTTCTCATACATCTGTTGATGAAAGTCTGGACTTTATTCAGCACTATGTTGTCTTCCAAGTTCCGCAGCCGTAGAGGAGCTCAAACTTGACATTGGAAATAAAGAGTCGAATCTTGGTGTGCACTGAAATGTTGCTTGCTTTCCAGACTTTTGATAATTGCTCGAATGCTGACCTTGCCTTGGCGGTTCTTGCTTTTACATCTGCCTCAATTCCACCTTTACTGTCGATGACACTTTCAAGGTAGGTAAAGGAGTCCACTTCTTCTAGGGGATTTTCTTCCACTGTCACAGCAGGATTTGACACTTTTCCTAGCTTCACTACTTTCGACTTGCCTGGGTGTATACGTAGGCCAACACTCCTTGATAGGCTGTTGAGTTCCTTGATCTTTTCTTGCATCTGAGCATGTGTGTGAGAGAGCAGTGCAAGGTCATCGCAGTTTTAAAGGCTCTCAAGCTATTGAATTTATCGAACTTTGGCGGCTGTTTTCTCACTAAATTTACCTCTGAAATCAGGTGACCCACACCTCCTTCTACCGCAAATATTTCGACTCTTATTCAGCATAGATGAATACCGTTTTCATCAAAAGGAAGGCAAATGGACAGGCTTTAAGATGATATCAATAACTCCTTATCCCTCAAAACTGACGAGCGCCTGATCTCACCATGTCGTGACACCTATTATTTTTTTAGTGCACACATTATTATGTGCATGTGTGTGTGTAGACATGTTTTTCATGAATATTATGCAATGCACATAGAACAATGATTGTTTCACGGATTTGCGAGATATAAAATATGTCGTATTATTTTTATCATTATAAGCGAACAAAGTAATTTTACGAGGGGGGGGGGGGGGGGGGGGGGGTGCAAATGCAAACGAAAGAAAGAGGGGGTCCAAAAAAGTCCCCCAAAAGGTGTAAGATTATATTTGAACAGCCCCTAAAGGTTTGAACTTTTATCCAACAGCTCTATTGATGAGTATGGTATTCATTCAATGTGTAGAAAACTTTTGTTTATTTTAAGATCCTTTTCTGACTTTTAATTTTAGAATATATTATAGTTTTTTTTAACAATAACAAGATCTTTTAAAAGAGAAAACGAATTCCCAATAAAAGAATTCATTTCCGACAACTGTGAACAGACTAGAAGTAGAAGACACATCAGGAAAAAGAAAGCCTTTCTTTATTTATAATTTCTGTGGGAAGTAATCAATGTATCGAAAATTCCATGCCAGCTTCCAGAAACAGAAGTCTTACTCTTACTCCAGCAGTCTGGGTATAACGAAAGTTGCGTCTGCTCTGCATTTTGGTGCTCTCCCTGACACACTCAGACTCTCTGCACGTTGACTGTAAAGACACATATTTCACAGCTTCGCCTTCGTCAAGCCAGCATCGGAGAATGGAAACAGCACAGCAAACACAACAATTGATTCCCACAGCCTTCCCTGACATACACCATGCACGAGATCAGAAAGTCCTTTCGTCCATCTGTCAATCATATCTTGAAGCCTGAATGAATAGCAACAACCCCAAAGGTCAAGTTCTCATATCTCACCATTCGAAATCCTGCGGCTTTGATCATGTTGGCAAAGTCTTTCTGCAAATAAAATGAAGGTGGTGGAAGGCATTCAGTACAAGGACGCAGCCATATCCCAGCAAACGTTAACAAAACTGAAAAGAGATGTACACAAGTAGCAGGTGTATATTTCAAGCTTCTATCCACTGATTCCCTTCCTAGAATCACACGAGGCAAGAATAAATCAGGACTCGTTATGTGGTATCCCACACAACAAGCTCAGATTGGCTTTAACGTTTATTGAAATGTCATAATCTCTACATAGAATAGAATTAACAAGTCTCTGCCAGAGTGTATACAATGTTAAAGCACAAAGAACTTAAATGTAAACTTTTATTATTTGACTAGTTCTTGACTAAATAATTCGATAAACCATATATAGACCTGAATGTGAGCCTCAACCAGATAATCTGAAAATTTTGGGCACACCACACAACCCCCCCCAAATCAGTTCCCCCCCCATAATAGCTTTTGTGGGTGTCATAAAACAGCAGCACTTGTAGAGGTACATGGTGGGGGCATCATTCCCCCCAAAAAAAACCTGCTTTGGTCCTTCAGAAATGTAAAAAAAAGCCAGCAAAATTACAAAACGAAAAAAAAATCAAACACACCCCAAAACAAACAAGGAGCATAATGATTAATGACATAATGGCCTACATTGCTATAATAGGGTTTGATACAATAACACAATAGAATTGGAATGTGAATCCTTCATATATATAGTAATCTAGATAAATCTAGAACTAGATCTAGTAGAACAAGTTAATAGGAATAGGCCTTTCACGAAATCCGCATCCGAACAGAGGGACTCAGCTGAGTCTAATAATTTACACACCTGATGAAATGCACTTTTACCAACATTAACATTACAGCACAACCTATAATGGGGTTTGACACAATAGAATTGGAATATGAATCCTCCATAGAGGTCTATTTATAACGATTTAGATTTATAAATCTAGAACTAGTAGAACATGTGAGTAGGCCTTGAATGAATCTACAACCGAACAATTGGTCAAAAGATGTAATTAAAAACGGCTGCTTGAGCATGAAACTGAAAGTAGATTTACTTTACGTCGTTGTCCTTTTTCGTATTCGTATTTCTACTCATGTTCCGACAATTATGCCGGAAACGCTGACGTCGGCACGAAAAGGAAATTGCAGACAAAGCCGATCGGGGAAAAAGGGGGCGCTGGCGATTTGCCAGGCCTTGCACTTCACACATAGACTAATACAATACAGGTGAGCCTTGTGATAGCATCAGCTGGGTCGCGGGTCGGGTCGCGATAGTCGGATTATAGACGATTGTCTGCTAACACGCAGGTTTACAAATATAATTTTTCTTCTCTAAACGCATGCTTCATCCAGCGAAATCCACAGAAAAACAAAGACAAGAATTTGTAAATGTCTGGGTCTACTTATATAACACAGCAAGGGCTGGTCTAGATTGCAAGATACTTTTACCTCAGGTTCAATAGAAGAAAACCAAACTTTACATTACAAGTAAGTATAACTTTATCTCAGACCACACATCACTACAAGACTCAGTCATGGAAAGTTTAATTTTCTCATTTCTTTTCACTAAATCTACAAAAACGATTATTGTTCTCAGTGACTGAAATGCACCGACCTGGTTGGGAAATCTTCGTATACTCTCCACCAAGTACTGGTAGGACTTCCAGTCACTGGCGATGACCTGGCCCATCACAGGAATCACTTGAAATGAGTAGCTATCATACACACTGAGAAAAAAAAGTAATAAGGTGGTATATGATTTTTGCTACAAATACTTGTGCAAAGTTGAACGTTTCGCTTGATTATGAGTCACCAAACAGTGGGCTGGAGAACAGACAGAAAGCCAAGAGTGGACTGGATAAATATTTCGTACATTACAACATATTAAATACTGAATTCATAAAAATAATGACAAACCAACCTACTTATTTATTAATACACAGAATACCAGCAAAATTTAAAAAAAAAAAAAATGAATTGATAAAATAAAGACAACAAATGTAGGCCCATATATTTAACAAAAAACATAAAATTAAATATTGTTGTAACCAGAAATTGCACCTTGTTTGCACATATTATCTGAATCTCAACAAATCAAGAAAAAAAGAGAGTGAAACATTAGATAGAAATTAGAAAGTCTATAAAAGCATGTTTCATCTGAATTTTCAGAAACCAAAGAGTCATACAATTTACCAATTAATTTACACTAGTGGAGAAAAGAGCTTTCTGAAGATAACATTACCTTTTAGGTTTGAAACTGAAGCCATTGACAAAGGTCAGAGGAACTTTAAAGATATAATAACGAACACTTCAGTGACATTTGCTGCAAGACAGTGCAGGTTAGCCCCACTTACCTGCGCAGTAAAGGGTTTGGCACTTCGCTGAACTCTAAACACATGAATCGCCCCCCTGGCTTCAGCACACGGTACGCTTCATTAATTACCTGCAAAACAGAGAAAAGGGGAAAAAGTCTAACGATGAAATTCACTTTCTTGTCAAGAACTGCTCTTTTTAAAAATCTAGAGTAAAAACTCAGGAGCAAAACATTGTGCACTTGAACTTTAAATTCCATCTCAAATCAAAACAGAGCATACCTTCAGACTTTTTCAAACTAGAAAGTAAATCTCTCTTTTTCAAACAACATTCAGGAAAACTATGGATAATGCCAATATCTATGAGGTTTTAGCAAAAACATTGCAAAATAGTAAACCAGACTATGCAAAAAGACATGTCCAAGTTGAAACAGGACACTCAGAAGGGCTGAAATTATCATCATCTGGAAACAATAACAATCACTCTATCCTTTGTCTCAATACCCATGAAAGGTTTACGACTGAGCTGATGGTTGTTAGCATCCTTATAACCCACTTCTTATCATGCTGGACTACAGTTTGGGTGAACTTGGTTCGAATCTTCAACAAGGCATTTTTTAACTCAGGCTGTTTGAGGAGTTTTCAGCACTCTCCAACATATGCCCATTTAGTATCAGTCCTATCAGAGAAGAAAGTTAAATTTGAAAGTCTTTCTTTTAAATAACCTTACACTTACATGGTCTAATGGGGGTGTGAAAAAATGTTAATAGTATAGTGAAGAAAAGATTACCCCCCCCCCCACCCTACTTCAGAAAATTTGGGCCCTTCAGTGTGCATAATAAACTCGCCCAAAAAAGTCAAGGAACAAATTGTGTTTTTACCTGTCAAAGTTAAACTTCAATATCTCACAAACCTGTTAAGATCAGTCAACCTAACTTGGCACACGCACTGACGACTAGACACACTTTGCCTTTACAGCTAATTTGCCCGCCCCAGCTTCACAGTGATGGCGCAGGGCATTCTGAAACACAGCCGAAAAGCATGAAAAATGGGCTAAATTTCTCTACTTCAGCATCATTGGCACAGGGACTGTTAGCTAAAACTAACCTTGGCTCGTGCTAAACAGATGTCTTAGTTGTGAATACTGCTGACTTACAACCCTTTATAAGCCAGTGTTTTTCAGCTATGTTTCATTACAACACGATGGTCCAACGGCGCTCGCTGCCTGATGTCGACAGAGGACGAGCTCTTACCTGGCTCCAAGATGACTTCACGTTCCCAGTTGTTGCACATCGACTTAGAGGGTCCCCATCAGTCATATAGAGGCAGCAAGAATGATAGCGAGTGACCGGAAGGGTCCAGGACAGGCCTCGACAAGGGCCGCCCTGTTGACCAACGACAGTATCGAGCAGTTCATCGTCATACAGGCCGTGATGTCACAAACCACCACTGCAAACGGCATCAGGGACCAACTACGGGTGACAGCCAGTGTCCACGAGAGGGAGGAGACGGTGAGGAACCGCATCGTTAGAGTCAGGTTCGCTTCTTGTGTCCCTGCCAGGCGCCCAAGGCACACGCCCCCCCCACAAAGCAGCTGGCCGGGCGTGGTCTGCTCGTCATTAACAGTCGACACATTGTCGACGAATCCAGATTCAACCTGCTGCATCCAGACAGGCCAGCCCATGTCTGGAGGCGCCGAAGAGAGCTGTTCTGGTGTGGGGAGGCTCCTCAGCTCACCACAAGACCCCCTGTACCATATACAGGGCAATTTGACCGCGGCAAGGTACAGGGAGGAAATCCTGCGTCCCCTTGATGTTCCTCTCCAGCGGCAGATTGGACCCCAGGCTGTACTGCGGGACAACAACGCCATGCCTGTAGCCCCGAATAGAACCCAATAGAGAACATTTGGGATCACATTGACCGGTGGATAAGGTACAAACACCCTCCTGCACAAAACCTTCAACAACTCTTGGGTTGCCTAGTCCAGGAGTGGCAGAACCTACCGCAACAAGGTCTCCGAGGGCATGTCCTTTCCATGCGTTGACGCTGTACCGAGTGTCTGGTCAAACGGAGTGGCTACACCCACTATTGATAATGTTCATGAAGAACTATGGCTGTTCAGACTTTTGAAATCCGACCAGTGTGACTTAAACTCATTTTACATGAACTTCTCGCTGTTGCTGAAATTTGAAATTGTACACACTTAATCTAGACAGTTCAAAGCATCTTTTTTGAAAAAATGAATAAATTTGGTTAAATTGTTCTTCAGTTATCTTTCTTTGAATTTTTGTTCCTTAACTTTTTTGTGCGAGTTTACTTTTGTGAATTCAACTGTCAAGGAATAAGGTAGTTAAAGTACTCTTATAGTATTGAGCAAAAAGTCTAGTCTTTTTTAGAGCAAGATGTTCAATCATGTTGTGGGTCGAGGCACTTGATAAAAGTGAATTTGACAACAATCCTGTTTCTTTTTTATGTTGATTGTCTTCAGTCTCCCTTTTGGCATGGAAGACCTAAAAAAATAGATATATAAATGAGGATACTGTGCTGGGGTCAAAACATACCTGCTGTACATGGGTGCAGTTACGGATGCCAAAAGCAATAGTGTAGGCATCAAACTCTCCGTCTGAGAAGGGCAAGCTTTCTGCGTTGCCTTGAAACCAGGAAATACCTGGATGGAAAGCAAAGAAAAAGAAAAGATGATTAAAATCAAGAGCTAGCATGAAGAAAAAAAAAGAGGCATCCAAGCGCTGAACCAAATGATAGACATCAATTGAGTGACTGTACTGTAAGGGATTTAGTAACATCAATACAAAGCCTAGATTTTAAAAAAGATCATAACAAGTTCTTAAAGGAGTGCTACTACTGCTACCACTACTGTTACTACTATAACTACTACTATGACTACAACTACAATTATGAACACTACTACTACTACTATTAAATAAAAACAGAATCCGATTCTAAATAAGAGTTTCCTGTCTTTGCGACTGACCAGCATTGTAGCCTAGTTGCAGCAGTTTCTCCCTCCCAACGTCCAGCATGTCCTGGTTGATGTCAGACACAGTCACATGACTGCCGTTCTGGTCGGGTCGCTGAATGTACCTGGATGATGAATTTTTTCTCCTTTCTTCTTCATCAGAGGATGAAGATGAAGACCAATCAGTGGTGTCTTCAGCAGGGTCCATGTAAACCTGTTGAAGATAGGTGATTTTATTGGAATATCTAGCATAAAAGTTGCCATCAATTTTCAAGCTTTCAACTCTATGTGACGACGTATATGTGACAATATAGATAGAGGTAACATAATCTAAAGCACCAGAATTTCTAGTGCTCTGTTTTAAGCATCCAGACTATCATTTGTAGCCACACAGAGAGTTAAAACGTGAAAAAGAAAGGTTTCACAACAGAATGAAATAAAAATTAGAACAGCACATAAACAACCACAAAAATTAAGAAATTAATAAGGGCGAGCGTCCACCTATCCGAAGATTGGATGTTTTAACCCTAAATGTGGGTAATTCAAGAAAAAGTACAGGACATTACATGTAAATTATGGAATTACACACACTATTACCCTGCCAGTGTCAGTATTCGGTTTTGGGGAGACATGCTCTAACATAACACATTTTATATATATATAACATCAAATTAAATGACATTACGCTATATATAAACAAAAAGAAAAAAGAAAAAACAACACATCAGAACAATAACAAGAAAAAATTAACAAACCAACAAATTAAAACACAACAAAGAGGGAAAAATAAAAGAGGAACAGCAATACAAATAGTATGTAATGTACTTATTTATACTTTTCACATGAAAATAACAAATCAACGCAGAGTCAACAAGTGAGAAAGAGAGGCAGTGAAGCTAAAGTGAAAATAAATTTTCATTCTAAATGTAAAGAGGTTTGGTTTCTTTTTTTCTTCTCTTTTTTTAAAGTCGACTTTTATTCCCCGGCGAGGGTACTTTTTTCTTCTTTTTTTGTTTTGGTTGAAAAATGCAAAAATCGCTGTTGTGATTCGTGGACAAAAAATTGCCAAAAATCGCGGCCGCGACAAATGCAGATGCTGGGAATAAAGGTTTTCTTTCTTCAATATCTAATCAAGCATTTCTTTAAAAATAAATTTCAGTTCTGGTAACCCCTACAACACATCCCTTTTCCTCTCTCAGTCTCAGAGACCATGAATGTGTTTGTATATCTTATACTCCGTTGTAGGTGGTACATAGGGTGTTAAAAACTGTTTTAGGGAGTCAGGTGATAGATCATGTAAGCACTTGTAGCAAGTTAAACAGATTTTATATATATATTATGCTCTTTCACCGGGAGCCAGTGTTGTTCTTTTAAAATAGGAGTCACATGATCATGTTTTAGTTTCTTAGTAATTATTTCGGAAGCAATATTTTGTGCTCTTAGTAGTTGTTGTAACAGTTCATCAGGTACACCAGCAAGTAAGGGATTACGGTAATCAAGCCATGACAATATAAGTGAGGTTATTTAAGTTTTGGTGACATATATGGTGATGATAGATATTTTCTAATACTGCCTATTTTCTTCAGTTGGAGATATAGACTTTTACAAAGATTGGATACATGGAATTTCATTGACATATCCTGATCTAGCACTATACCGAAATTTTTTATTTTAGGTGGGGCTGATGTTTCATGGCCGTTGATGTTTATACTGATATTGTCGATTTCATTGCATGCACTGCTACGAAAAAATAATATTTCGATCTTATCCTCATTTAATTTTAATTTGTTCTTGAGTATCCATTTTCTAATATTATTGATACATCTGGCAATTCTATCGATGAGATTGTGTACATTGTCAGTTGTAGTAAATCCATACAGCTGTGTATCGTCTGCATAAAGATGATAATTAAGGGCATATAAAGAAATTATTGATGACAGACTTTGTGTGTACATTGTAAAGGTGACAGGACCAAGGAATGAACCCTGAGGGGCTCCATACTTCAGAGGTAACATATCTGACACATCATTGCCAATTTTCACAGACGTAAATATATTTTCTAGATATGATTTATATTAACCACAATAGAACAGTACCTGATAGTAAAAATGACTCTCCGAATCTCTCTAGTAAAATTTCGTGGTCGATGGTATCGAACGCCACTGAGAAATCAAGTAGAACCAAAACACAGACTTTTTTAGTATCGATTTCATTTAAAACATCTGATGATACCTTTAAAAGAGCTGTTCCCATACTAAGGTTGTTCCATGTCATTAGCCTTTAAATGTTGTTGAACTTGACACAAAACTATTTTCTCCAGGATTTTTGATAAAAAGTTAAGATTAGAAACAGGCCTAAAATTTTCTAGGTCGTTTTCATCAAGACCTTGCTTTTTAAGTAAAGGTTTTACAATGGCTTGTTTGAAAAGATCAGGTACGATTCCAGTGGTGAGTGACATTAATAAAACGAGTAACATATGGTGCGAGATCTTCAATGCACGTAACTAACAATGAAGCGGGTATTGGGTCTAAGTCGAATGTTTTAGCGGGGGACTCTTTGATATTCTTAATGACATCTTTCTCTGATACCACTATAAATTCACTCAATGTTGATTTGTTCATAATTGCAAGATTTTCATCAACAACTATATTTGTATTTACATATAACATATCAGAGTCTAAATTAGTTCTTATTCTTTCAATGTTATCATTGAAAAAGTGCAGAAATTTACGACAAAGTTCTTTATCAGTTCCAGGTGGAAACCGTGTACAATTCTCCCTTCCCAATAATTGATTAGATAACCGAAAAAGTTCCTTGCAGGAGTTTACATTTTGAAATTTGTTAAGATAGAATTGTTTTTTGTTGTTTTCAATCAGGGTGTTGCCAAAACCTGCTTGTTGACGAGGAGGCCGGTCTTTCTAAGCTGTCTCTCCGCTTTCCTTCGTTGTTTTTTGGCCTCTTTGATCTCGAGAGTAAACCACGGAGATGCTGGTCTAGGTGACATCTTACGAGTGACTACGGGAGCATGTTTGTCCAATGCATTAAACAGAACTGAAGAGAACCGATCTACAGCTGTAGAGGGGAAGAGCCTGAAACAGCGATGCATTCTCCCTGATGATCTCCATGCTAGAGTATGGGATGCAGAGGTTACATAGCAACTAGCATCATTAAGTGGATAAGAGTGGCAGGACTTACTGCAAAGAAAAGTAACGCACTCATAAACTCCCTTCAGGAGACAGTAGAGAAAGCCAGTCATTGGATCTGATTGAAGCGAGAGGACGCAGGCTGGAATGAATCCTAAGAGTTGGCAGCAGAGGAAAATAGTTGGACTAGAATAGAGACCTCACATCGGTGAGGGGATTTGGTGCATCGGAACAGCGGTAGAGACTAAGAGCCCTAAACAGCGACGCACTCTCTCCTGATGATCTCAATGCTGGAGTTCGGCTGTTAGCAGTGCATTCGGCTGTTTTAAACTACATACCTACCAGTAGCAGGTGTATGCTATGGACATCCAGGAAAGACAGGACGACAACCCGGAGTGACGGGTGGACATCAGGAAAGACCGAGGATGTCGGAAAAGACCAACGTTGGCAGGGGCAAACTACCCAGGTAAGCACGAGTTAGGTCAATCACTTGAAAAGACAGCCCCAGGATCCAACGAGAGGGGGGAGTAGAGGATGGATCCACAAGGACGGATTCAATGGACAATGACCTAAGCGTGAAAAAGACATAGCAGGAAGAAAGTCAAGAGAACAGCTTAATATGTGAGCAGTGCTACAGAAAGTTCGAATCTTGGTGAGGGCTGAGAGTGCACCAGGGAAAATCTGTTTAAGGAAGAGAAGACAGTGCAGATCGACAGGAGAGAGTGCGTCGCTGTTTCGGGCTCTTCCTTCCTCTCTACAGCTTTTCTGACGCACCGAGCCCCCTCACCGATATGAGGTCTCCATGCTAGTCTGACTGTTGAGTGAAAAGAGAAAAAGGAGCTAAAGTTTCCACTGCCCCGTCCACAGAAAATCATCATAACTGTAAGATAACATAGACATAATACTAAGCATACATCATCACATATGCGGTACAATTGTATGAGGTCATAATTGCTGGTAGAAAACACTGACTATAGCCCACCTGTGCTGTGATGTCACGCGGAAGTTCTATGTCTGCGCTCAAGTCAGAGTCAAGGTCAATGTGAGTAGGACTTCTCACATATTTGAGAAATCTTTGTGCAATATCCCCTGCAAAAAGCAATGATGTATTCATTAGAACTTGTAAGTAATTTACACCTGGTCAACTGTTCAAACAATGAAAAAAGGTACCTATTATTTAAAGAAAATTTCTGTTGCTGATTATACAATTGGCAACAGACCAAACACCATTTGTCATCATTACAATTTTTAAAAGCTCATTCCGTAGGAGTAAAGAAAAATGAAGCAACCAAAACAACATGAGAAGGGCATTAAAAAATGAGGACATCTCTGACAATAACGTTTGTTTTTCACTGGCCTGGATTTTATCTCATGCCATAGTGCATGTGAATAATTAGGCTACTGGGTGCCAGGAAAAGACGGGCACTTCATGTCAAACTTCATTGTATTGACTTTTTCTAGATATATTTGGTGTAGTGAAGTCTCCAACACATTGAGTTTGTTTAAACCCACAAAATGTTCACTTCGCTGTATTGACATTCTCAGAATTTAGAGCATATTTTCTGCATAGCTTTTCATAGAGCAAGGCTCTGGATCTAGATGTCTATATCCAAGATGCATTTGGAGCACAGAATTCAAGACTGATTTGGAGTACTTAGCAAGAACATGTCAATCTAGATCCAGATCTGTTCGGAATAAAGATGTCCATGGAATATTAGTTAATAATGTAGTAAGAAGCCCCATAAGCGTAAAGTTTGTTTAATCCGACAAAACAGAGGTGAAAGCGATATGAAACGGAGAAAGGCGTCTATCAATCAGAATTTACGTTCTGACAGTCAGAATCTGGAGGAAGATCTTGAGCATGCTAGGCCAAGAAAGAATGGACGAACGTTGGCCTTAGCGTGCAAGGCACAGTCCTTTAGTGAAACTAATGTTGATTGGAGATTACGGACACATGACTGCGGTGAATCCAGTGTCATCTGTGAACATTGCAATGCCATAAGAAGGAGAGAAGAGAGAAATACATTCTGCTTAGTATACCTGTACCTCCCGCACCCTTTCAGGAACTAATAAAATGTTACGATGTAACACAGAGCGGCAGCTCTTTCTTACCACACTGTATGTCATACAATAATGCTCTCGCGGTTGCTTCAGTTGGGTGCAGTGAACAAGCTGAACAAGGCTTCAAAATCTGGGGCAAGCTGTACCACAAACATTTTATCTTGTGATTTCCTATCACTAAATTACCATTCGTAGAACGGGTCTGTATCTTATACAGTATAACACAGATAGGTCGGACACAGAAGACAGGAAATCCCGCATCCGTTGAACTGTGCCTGCGGCCACACTTCCCCCACCTTCTTTATCTTTATAAGATATCCCTCGAACTACAGATCCCTCGTACTACTGGGGCCGGTCCAGACAAATTCAAGCTATCTGTGTTATACTATATATATTCAAGCTTCAGAACACTTTACCTGTTCCCCCGGCAACATCCAGCAGTTTTGTCCCAGGCGCAGGGGAGAACCTGTCCATGAACACATCCTTCCACACGCGGTGCAGTCCTCCACTCATCACATCATTCATGAGGTCATAGGTCTTGGCCACATTACTAAATACTTCATGTACTGAAAAAGAAAAAGAAGTTTTGATCAAATATTGTTCATATTTCAATGCACAAGAGATAAAACAATAATTGCGTATTTATATATATATACATATATACATAGCCGCTGTTCAAAATAGGATGCAAAGAAAATTTTTTACTACAGTCGAACCTGCCATGACGGCAACCTGTATAATATGGCCACCTGTACAAACAGCCACTTTCCATTTCCCTCCTTGTTTCTTAAATATAATTTAACTGTGTAAAATGGTCACCTGTCCAACGCGGCTGCGGCCACCTTATTCTATCAACCCACAGTCAAATTTACCTGCCTGAGGTGGCCAGGCGTGGTCACTCATCGCCCCACGCTTTGTCAAAAATTTATTTTTTAATCGGCCCCTCACACAGTGGATGGGCCGTCATAATCCATTCACCTGTCGTTATAGTTAGTCCCTCCAATGAATGTTAACCCAAGTTGACCAATAGGTAACAATAAATTTTCAACTGCTGGTGAGGAAATCGTGATCTGTCATAACCTATGAGCCCCGGCACAACTCATACACAAATCGTATGTGAGGAGACTGGAAACTGTTTTGTTTACCTAATCTGTAGCAAAGTAACGATGACGTTGACGTGAATCTGCAACAGAAGCGTCACTCGTTGTCCGAGTGGAGGCGACCTGCGTGTTTGTTTTATTATGACGCTCTGTCTTTGTCTCACATACATGTATTTAGTTTATTTTACCCTTGAACAAAAATCAACAACAACAACAAAAAAAGCGTACCATAAAAACAAACCAACAAAACAACAATACACCCCCTTCTCATACCACCCAACCCCCCTTTTCAAAAGAAAACAAAAACCCTTTTAAATTAGCCTTACGGCAGTACAATCCAAAGCCTGAGAACTGAGATCAGCCGAGGTTCGAACCTCAGAAGAGAATGGTTTGCTTTCTTCATTTTGATCAGTCCTGCCAAAGACGGCCACCTATGTTATACTGTTATACGGCCACTTTGCTACTTGACAATGGGTGGCTGTTTTACAGAGGTTTGACTGTTAATTCATATCAAACAATATCCTCTATGGACGTCCGTAGAACTTATATATATGAAAAATAATAACTTAAAAAAAAAAAATGTGACTTCATTTTTGGAACTGGCATTAATAAGTTACAAATGCTCAACCCTCGAAACTGTTTTTAATACAACTCTGAAAAAACAACAACTTAATCAGGCAAAGCTCTGAAATAAATCACTTGGTAAGCAATCATTACAAATTTATAGTTTTTATTTGAAGAAAAAAGAAAAAACAAACCTTCAACTCATCACTGTTCCCTAAGAAAAAAGTGAAGTTAACCCCCTTAAATAAGTTCATGCTGAAAGCAGAGATTCATAATTTAATGTTCATGTTACTATCACTGTCACCATTACAAGTATGTCCAGGGGTTCTCGAGGTTCAGAGGTGACAGTGTTTGCCTGTCATTCAATAGATCCTGGGTTCGTATCAGGAAAACGACAGAAAATGTTCTCCTTTCACCTCCTTTCCAGCTCTTTAACAATGTTCTGTCGTCTGCTTTCGTCTCCACTTTCGGCTCCCACCCCCTCACCTCTTTTGCCCCCTCGTCTGGGCTTTTGACTTTTTCTGCAGCTTTTATACTGCTACTCCTTGGCTCTTCTTAAGCCCCGGTTACACGCAATGATAAAATGTATCAGATTCGTTGTATGTGAGAACTGTCTGTTTTATCAAACCGTGCGTTGTCTGTTTACACGTTCCAATCTATCGTAGTTTTCTTTCGATTGAGGAGATTCCTCGTCATAAAGCCACCAGTCTCTTTGCGACAAAAGCTATTTGCCTGCACTCTACGCGAACGTTTCGAGCTTGGGACCTAATGAATGAAAGGCGAACACTGTACCTCTAGTTCACGAGAGCCCCCCTCCCCCCGTACATTTTGATATAGCAGAACAGTGTCTTCTGAAAAGGGTGGCCATACTGTACCGTGTTGTTTGTAGAAAGAGAAACTTTGACTGGCCTGCAGATGTGCAACGCACTGAGCGACCTTGATGCACAACTTCACCATTGACAATCAATTAAATAATAAAATTACTAAAGTTTACATAATTTTGAAATCAAATCAGGTTCCCCGCGAGCTATTCTACTTATTCTGAGACACTGATTCCGAAAATAAAATCAGTCTTAAAATGCAATAATTATTTTAAAAATTTGGCGCTCCAAGTTTAATCATGCGCGGCGGTAAATTTCAAAATGATTCTACGTCACAGCGCGTCTCCCCCAAATCTGAACGTGAGCGCAGGTTAGTCTTCAAGCCATTGTCCAATCGCCTAAATTTTGTATAATTTTATGGTTACACCTAAGGATTTATCGTATGGTCCCTAGATCGTCTAACTTTTGTACAATCTATCGTTACGTGTAACCGGGCCATTACTGCTGTCTTTCAGCCACACCTCTGATTTCATAATAAAGTTAAGATTTCACACCTAGCTTTCTTGGATAAAGGCGAAAAATCTCGAAGGTCCCCTGTGCAAGTTGCCCACGTTAAAGATCCCTTGGTGGTCCAAAATCGATAAGAGTAGGCTTCGGCTGCTACCCGAGCAAAGTTCTAAATTTCATACCAACTGAAAATGTTCAATGAGTCCTGTGCGCTCATACGACCTTATAATGATTTCAAATGCAGTTGCGAGCGCCGTAAAACACTTGAAAAAAAAAAACCCAACAAAAAAACCCTTAAAAGTGTGTCCCAAGAGCATGTGGCTGACTCACTGGCTATGTCAATCATCAGAAGACAGGGGGATGTCTTGGACAGTATCTTTTCAATATTTAAAAAAATGCACACTGGTCTCCATCTAATAGCACGCACCTCGGGTGACAAAAGCATGTTCTTATATTATACAATTTATATATGTACTACTGAGCAATTTCAAAGCGGGGTATTCTAGAAGTTATTTCTGTCGAACCTTATCTTATTGATTGTTGGGAACCACTTAACATTAAAAAAAATTTACCTTCTGTAGTGAGTTGCGTCACTGAACTGATCTCACTCTAGTGTGTGAAGCTTTCCTATGTCGAGTGATTGTGAGCAATGATCTTCTTAATTATTGCAAAACTCTCACACTGTCTGCCAGCCACGCATGGCCGCTCACCGTTTTTCGTAATTGTGCAACTCTACCTCACACCTTGTCTATCCACATACTATTCTCCCTAACAAGCCGAAATTTCAAATATTAAGGGAAGGCATTATTGTGTTTACTGAACTACAATATCGCATTTCATATGATGATTATGATACAACGTTTCGTGATGGACGGTTAGCCTACCCCCAGATTTACACAATTCATCCTTTCTACAAGCTGAGCCCCCTTTCAATGAAAGCCACCTCTATTCTCACCCCGGGTGAGAATAGTGAAGGCGAGTCTTTTGGCTATTCTCACCCGGTGTGCGTTCACCGTAGAGCCTAGATCTAGGCCAACCAATTTTGCGTTCACCCTGAACCACAGAATTCTAGACTGTGATAACGGAAAAATTGTAGAATTCTGTGCCGTGAACAAACGTTCCATTACTACTGTTAGCCTAAAAAAAAGCGTACAATTTTGTCTTTGGGCAGTGGAGAGAGAGAGAGAAAGAGAGGAGTAGCGCGAGAACTTCCGGGCAAAACAAAATGGCGACCCGCGTAGTTCAGCTCGATTCGAAAAGTTAAATAGCTGTAGCATCTTTGTAGACGACCAAATTAATTTACTTTTGTGTTTTAACATCATTTTTAACTTTGTTTTGGTCAATTTGATCGTCCACACCGATAGACAGTATTCAGAAAGAGACAAAGAGAGAGAAGAGGGGAGGAGTAGATCTTGCGAGAACTTCCGGGCAAAACAAAAAGGTGAGCCGCATAGTTCGGCTCGATTCGAAAAGTGAAATAGCCATAGCATCTTTGTAGACGATCAAACTAGCTTACTTTTGTGCTATAACGTAATTTTTTCTGCCATTTTTTCTTTGCTTTTATCCATTTGATCATCCACACCGATAGAAAGTATTCCGAAATTAGGAAAAACAGGTCTTGTTTCACACCGGGTGAGAATAGCCTATGGTGGCAAGTCTCACCCGGGGTGAGAGGTCGATCGTATTTTTATTCTCACCTCGGGTGAGCATAGCCACTTCCTTCAATGAAAGGAATGATCGGAGCATTAACATCAACTTAAAGTCATTGGCCTACTAGATATCTAGATCTAGATCTAGATCTAGATTCTATATTTACACTCTACTGAAAAGGAGCAATAAATCTTGAGAGAAAAGTGACACATGTATGTATGTCATGTGTTTCCAAGTTGCCAAATATATAATAGATGTTAACTTTAGAACTAGAATAGAATCTAGATCTAGATATCTAGATCTAGATCTAGATCTCTATATATATCTAGATCTACATCTTAGATCTATATAGATCTAATATAGATATAGTATAGATTCTAGTCTAGATCTACACCGTTGCACCTTTTTGTTCCTTTTCCTCTTCAGGTACGGACTGAAACCCAAAGTGTGTTTCTGTTTGTCTGTCTTGATCAGTTTCACTTTCTCCATGAGCGCCAGATCCACGCACAGCGAAAAATCGAACTGCATAGCTTTGGCTTTGTCTTGAACGTCGCCGGAGAAAAAGTTGCCTCATCAAGGGCGCAGCCATCTTTTTTTGATTGTCAGGATCGCTCGTTGAATAAATTCTATAAACATAAAAACAAAAGACAATTCAATACTAAATTAGATTTATATTGCAATGATTGACGTTAATCAATTATAAAAATAGTTTAAAAATAATTTTCTATAAAATATTATCTAATCTGAATATTTAATAATGTTTTTGTAAATAAGAAACAAGCGTAAACTCAGCACTCCCTGTTACCGGCTGTAAACAAAATGGCAGCAGTGCGGCACAATATTGATGCCGCAGAGGCTAAGAAGTTTCGTGACGCCCTCACACGATTACGTAGTTTTGTATTTAGAGAGGACGAAAAGACGAAGACAACATTGAGTCTTCTTTTAGACGAATCTATTGCCGTGGACTCTTCTGTATATTCATTTCACAGTGAATATGTAAGTGTTATTTATTGGTGCAAATCAAGTACAAGGCAAGCAGCAATGGAATGTCTATAACTATAATAATAATAGTATTATAGGTTATAGTCCTAGAGTCTAGAGTCTAGATCTAGATCTAGATCTACCAGAGCCACCACTTTCTGTTTACTCATGTATTTGCCTTTGCTGGACTCAAGTGTAAGGGTAGGGGTAGGGTTAGCCCTAATCATACCCCTTTTATTTGAACTCACCAAAAATGTGAATAAAACGCTGGGAAGTGGAAAATTTTCTGGTGATCTTTTGTAGTTCCGTTTGTTAACTCTTGTCCTGCGTCTGTGCTGAGATGCGAATCTTATCAGCAACCGATTACGTCGGACGTTCCGGGCAGGCCGCCGGGGTCACTCAGTGTCTACTGTTGGTGTACAGTGCGCACCGGGAAACATGTGTTTTTGCCATGAGTGCCGTGGGAGTGTGTTTATCGATGATGAAAATAACGCTCTATCTTTCATAGCTTTCTATTTGTAAAAGGGTTACAAACACGTGAATAACCCCCTCCCACAAGCCGATAAGACATTATGAGTAGTTGTGCCCATTCGAATAACCTTTCTCGACACGCTCTTGTTGTTATGAATGACCTGAGGTTCGAAAGGGGATAATATAGGTCAATTTCCTAATGTTTTGCTCTCAAAATGTTCTTTGTACCTGCACAATGGTATTCCTTTCGAACTCCTCATGTCTAAGTGGGTCAATTTCTTCTATAATTTCATTGGACGAACATCTAGAGCTACCAACTTGGCGTCTTTTGAATGAGACGTATGCCTCGATTTCGAACCAACACAGGCGGTTCTAGAAGAAGGCCACAAACGCACACAAACTCGAGCAGACTGACGCACACACACTTGACCTGCGTGAATGGGGTTCCGACGTGGGACCCGAATTTCACGTGAGATGATGCTTGGCGCGCATGCACTAAGCCAGGGGCTAGACTGACTCGGGACCAGAACGCAGGCGAGGTGCTGAAATAGGCTTATCGGGCGACATAAACCCGGCCCCAGCAGGACGAGGGTTAAAGTCCACGATCCATTTGTTTACATCCAGAGAAGAAATCCAGAAGTCACGATTACCAAATAGGCAACACAAAGAACAGGGATGCAGCCTAACTGCAAAACATCAAATTATGGTAAAATTAGGGGGGCAAGCCCCCCTGAAACCCCCCTGCCTCTACTCTTGACTCTTGGAGCCCAAACCTGCGCATAACAATGAATCCAATAACAATTCGGGAGGGGGGGGGGGGGTGGGAACTGTGGGAGCTGCCGAAAAAGCGCCATTCTTTGCTTGAATTTTGATTTTCTGGCTTTAAGGTGTTTCCTTCCTGTCTCATGCTTAGTTCTGTCCTCAACTATTACCTGGCAATTCAGGGTCTCTGGCGTTCAGCTTTGGACTTTAATGAACGAAACTACAAAGTCACCAATTTCCTTAGTCTTTGCCCTTGCCTTAGGCCAATTCTAACATCATCATGCTTGCACATAATGACATCATGGCATTTGTTGAGGATTTATTATGTTTGTGGAGAAATTCAATTCGTAAAGTTCAATGCTTCAAAGAGATAATGGCTCAGTCTAATTAGATCCTCGCTCAATTGTTGTAAGAACTACTGGTGTAATTGAGTTCCAATAAAATCACGTTGTCTGTTCTGTTAGCTCTAGCATTGTGTTCCTAATTTCACGTTGATACAAACGTGACATGGTGGCAGCGGGGTAAATGTTAAAAATAATTAATTTCATGCACTCAAGCCTTTGATAAAAATAACGTAGAGTCAGTTTGCGCATTTTTTTACTTTGTCACGATCTTTGTTAAAGGGAAGGCCAGTTTTGAGTGTCAGAGAAAACGAAAGTAGGCTGCGGACGCCACATGAGAAAATTTGCGGTGATTTTTGGCTGTGCGCAGGAGAATGAAGGCAACCCCAGATCTAGGGCAAGGCTTAGCACGCGATCGGACGAGCGAAGCATGGGACGCAACCTTTGAAATACTGAGCACAACCAGAAGGACTCAGTAGTTATGTATCTTCTTTCAGTCACTGTTCAAGAGCAAGAACACAAAAGTCTGTCTTCTGATGGAGTGTGAGGTGGGCCTTCTCCCCTCCCCCCCCTTCCCAGTCCCCTCGGTCTACTCCACCTCCCCCTACCCCTCCAGCAGACAAACCCCTGCCTATGGAGGAAGACAGCTCCGACCCCCCTCCCCGGCCTGACCCGGGGAGGGGCGGAGTCTGTCACTCCTCCAAATCCCCCACTAGACCGCCGTCCAATCCAGGACGGCAACCTAGAAAACACTCTGCCTCCCCCGCAAGGAGGAGTCAGAGTGCTTCTTCGAAGCCGGGGCCTTTGAGCTCCAAACAAAAACCTAAAAAATCATAATGGCGGTCCTGCAATGGAATGCCGGCGGAATCCGACTTTCCATTGCAGAATTGCAACATTTACAGGCCACACTGTGCCCACGGGTGCCCTGTATTCAAGAAACAAAATTCGCCCCGGCTTCAACCATAGACTTAAGAGGATTTACTGCGTACCATCACATTCACACGGAGAACCAGATTGCTTCCGGTGGTACCACCATCTACACCCCTTGACCTCACTTTTTGTACCCCTGAACTAGTCCCAGATCTTGAGTGGTCTGTGCTGGATGACCGTACGGACCATTTCCCAATTCTCCTAAAAAACAATAGCCTCCAAAACGACCCGATTCCAGAACGCTTCAACTTCAAAAAAGCCGACTGGGACGGGTTTGCCAATCAATGTTCCAAGATTCTTAATCCCAATTTCGACCACAACTACAATAAATTTCACGAAAAGCTCTTAGAAATATGCCACAATCACATTCCAAAAACCCCGGAGGAACAAGATCTGGTTCTCTTGGGAATGTGAGGACGCAGTAAAGAAAAAGAAGGCAGCGTATCGAAAAGCCGTCAACAACACCACCATAGAAAACAAGATAAGTTATTTAAAGGCTCGAGCTGTGGCACGTAGATGCCTCAGGGAGAGCAAAAGACAATCATTCCAAAAATACATCTCCAAAATCAACAGCCAGACACCACTCACCAAGTTTTCCAAATTGCTAAAAAATTCTTAGGTAGACGCACAGACACCATTCGGCACGTCCAGAGGCCGGATGGAACAACAGCTGAAACACAAGTAGACATTGCAAACACAATAGCTACATCTCTAGCCAAAAACTCATCCCAAGCAAACTACAACACCACTTTTCAAAACATCAAAACTAACAGAGAAAAACAACACCTAAACTTCCACTCAAACAACACTGAAACCTACAACGCAGACTTCACAATAGACGAATTAACATCGTGCATCTCGGACCTGGGCGATACAGCCCCGGGACCGGATGACATCCACAACAAGATCATTAGACACTTACCCTCAGAAACACTCACACTTCTATTATACATATACAACGACATGTGGCGGTCGCACTCCTTTCCGGAGTCTTGGCGTCTCGCCACTGTCATTCCAATACCCAAACCAAACAAGGACCACACACACGCATCCAATTACAGACCAATAGCACTAACGAGCTGTCTCTGCAAACTAATTGAAAAAATGATTCACAGGCGACTCATGTGGTTTCTGGAAACGACGGGCTCGCTGAGCGGTCTCCAGTGCGGATTCAGGAAAACTCGATCCACTCTGGATCACCTGGTCCGCCTGGAGACCTTTATACGCGAGACGTTCGCTGAAAGAGGCCACATGATCGCCATCTTTTTTGACCTAGAAAAAGCCTTTGACACAACCTGGAAGTACGGCATTCTTCGAGACCTGCACGCACTCGGCATACGCGGTCACCTCCCTGCTTTCATTGGCAACTTCTTGAAGAACCGTTCCTTCCAGGTTCGTGTCGGATCCTCCCTTTCAGACCCCCACTAACAGGAGGAAGGAGTCCCCCAGGGGAGCATCCTTTCTCCTATCCTATTTGAAATTAAAATAAACTCCATAGTGAAAACCCTCCAGAACAGCATAGACAGCTCGTTATACGTTGACGACTTCTTGATATGCTGCCAATCGAAAAATCCTCATTTGAGATCTATGGAAAGGCAGCTACAAACGCAGCTGCAAAAACTTGAAACGTGGGCAAACAACAACGGTTTCAAGTTCTCCCCGTCAAGGACGGTTGCAGTATACTTCTGCCGAACAGGCAGACGTGTGCTGCAGCCGGATTTGACACTATACGGGGAAAGGATTCCCGTCCAGGACCAAGCTCGTTTCCTCGGCGTCATTTTCGACAAAAAACTTACATTCATACCACACATCAAAGACCTTCGTGTGAGGTGCCAGAAAGCGTTAAACGCTTTGAAAATTCTATGAAATCCGGAGTGGGGCGGGGACTCAAAACACCTTCTCCACTTGTACATCTCCCTTGTCCGGTCCAGGCTTGACTACGGCTGTCAAGTCTACGGATCGGCAAAACCACACGTCTTAAAAATACTAGATCCAATACAAAACCAAGGACTCCGCCTCGCTCTGGGGGCTTTCCGCACTTCTCCGGTGGAGAGCCTCCAGGCCGAGGCCAACATACCACCACTCTCACTCAGACGCACACAACTCTCACTACAATACGCAGTTAAACAGAGCTCAACACCGGAAAATCCAGCGCACAACAGCATTTTTCAAACAAATCCAGAAACCAGAAACAAATTCCAAAATAACGAAAAAAACTCATCAAACCTTTCGGCCTCAGAATCCTTGAGGACCTCAAAAACTTACACTTTTCCAAACAAGACATCCAACAAATTCTTTTCCCCGACCTCCCTCCGTGGCACCTCACCAAGGCAAAAGTAGATTTACAGCTGACCACACACAACAAAGAAAGCACAAACACCAAAACTTTTCAAGCAGAATACAAAAAACTAATAGATAAATACCCCGGTGCGGAGCTCATCTTCACGGATGGCTCCAAAAAAGACAATGAAGTGGGCGCCGCAGCCCTATCTCCCAACAATACACACCAGA